TTCACTCCCTGCATCCCTTTTTTCCTTCATCCCCACGGACCAGCACATCTGGACCAGGAGTATTTTTAGTAGCGTTTATGTCCCTGAACAGGAAGCTCCTCCAGCAGAGAAATATCCCTTCCTCCTTGTTCTCCTCCTAATGCGCTCCAGAACATGTTTACTGCCGTCGGGTCGCTCCGGCTCTGTCTGTGGGTGTTTCTGGTCGAGAGGTGAAGCTCGCTGTGCGTACCGTCTGGCCGGCCAACAATGGGATGAGTGTGTGTTTGTGTGAGACCAGAACAATTGATCTGGTGGCCGTTTCCTCTGCCTCTCAGCGCCATTGTTGTCCATGATAGGAGACATTCCACGTCTGAGGAAGCGACACAAAAGCTCGCAGTGGAGCTTTACTGTCGCTCATTCATGTCCAAACTCACGCTCATGTGGGGTTAAGGCTCGCTCCTGGAGATGCTAACCTCCGTTCTTTGACCTGTTTAAATGCATGTGTGTGCTTTGCGTCAGAGAGTCAGATTTCTGGTGTACACATACGCGGCCAGTGAAGCTGATTCTGAGGTTGTTTCCAGGTTCTTGTCGGGATTTGCTGCTTCTCTCTGCCTCAGAACCGTCTCAGATATCTGCTGGTCTTCTGACAGAACCAGAAGATTGCCCCTGGGTTGAGGAACTTGCAGTTTTCAGTTTCACAGTTTTCTGATAATACATGAGAGCTTCTTCAGAATAAACAGTCTGTTATCAGTAGAATGAGCAGTCTACAGGATGTGTTTGTGGTCACATGGACACACACACACATCGTTGTTCTTAGTGTAAGATTTATTTCCATGTGACGCTGATGATGACCAGCCTTTGAGAGAAAACGACACACTGCTCTGGGAATGCAAACGAGGGCTCTGAAGCTGAAGAACGGGATTTAAAAAGCTGGAACTACCTGTTGGAACGTCCAGAATAATCGCTTCGCTCTCACAGCGTTGGCAGTGAGACGTTATCACGGTTATGATGTCTTCAAAGCCTCAAAACTCACTTTGAAGACAATCAGCAAACTCCCACAGAGGTTCTGCTCACTTGATCCAAAGAGTTCAGACTGACTTCTCACAGATCTTATTAATTTTATTCTAAGTTTAACAAGGTTAGGGAAAAAGATTTTAGTCATGAGTTTTTACTCATGCAATTAGGAAGTGAAGCTAACATCAAGAGAAGAAGATTAAAGTTTATTCTGGTTTAGTAAAAGCCATTTCCAGATGTAGCTCCAGCTTTTATTTTGTATTTCAAGTTCTGCTGTTTTATGAATACAGTGAATCAGACAGACTTTGTGTTCAGTCATGAACAAAGAACGCCATGAAATTTTAATTCTTTCCTTTTCAAGTGGGGATCAGACACTCGGATCTTAAAGAGATGTTCTCAGACAAACATATACGTTGCTTCTGTCTGCCGTTCACAGTCCATGTACCGTGGATCAGACGTATAGCCGTCCTGCTGCAGGCGTTCAGCACCTCGCTGTTCTATCCGCCTCCATCAGAGGCGATTGCTCCGTAACCAGCAGACTCCGGAGACGCTGCTTTATTTATCATGCTGACTGCTCCCCCTGCGCCCAACCACCAGGACTCCAGCTGGGCTTTGAAGAAAGCGCTTGATGATGTGATGTGTGTGATGTTTCGTCAGGTTTGAATTCAGTCTCAGCCGCGTGTTTGCTCAACTAGTAGCTAAATGAGAGCAGCGAAGCCGACAAAATCAAACCATCTCTCATTCTCTTTTGTCTTTTCTTCTCTTAGAAAAACGTGCTGGCGTCGTGTTTGTGAATCCTAGGAGGAGATAAACACACAGACTCTGTCGAGAGTTTGATAATAATGGGAAAAGTAATTACAGCATCTAATGGTTCTCCTCTTCATTAGTCCTGTATTTGAAGCTTGATGTGGGAACTTCTGCCCTGGCAGCTCCTCCTGCACCTGCAGACGCCAGCGAACGCTTCCTGTGCCCCCGACCGGCCAGACCCTGCACCTCGGGCAGTGTGTGCCCTCTTTCATCCTCCGCTCTCATCCCACAGCCCCTTTCATCCATCAGTGGGCTTCGCTGTGTCCCTGCCAGTTCACATTCGGCCTCACTTAAAAGGGGTGAGGGAGGCGAGGAGGCAGGAGGCTTAGCTGTCTGTGCCAGCCGCCGCCGGCTCCGTGCCGAAGGTGCCAACGTCAGGAATAACTGTTGTCTCGCGGATGATGGAATTTCCTTTTGCTCTGCGGCGGTTCTGTGAGAACCTCACAAAAAAAAAAGGTGGGGGGACTTCATATTGTTGGAAGCGTAGCAGTGAGGATGTTCTGTACCTCCTCTGGTCCAGTCCACATAAACGTGCTTTATTGACACAGGAAGCAGTGAGCGCGCTCTGTAGAGCTGAACTCAGCCTGGAGACCGGCGGCAACGCACAACGCTCACCGCTCCAGCTCGGTAGTCGAGTACGACTGAAACGTGAGCCCAGCAGCAGGTTTAGATGCTGAGTGAGACACAGTCAGGCTAAGCTGCCATGTTGAAGACATCAGGGAGGGAGGCCTGTGGCAGCTTAGCCTCTGGCTCCCGGCTCCTGGCAGGACAACCCCCTATAAAGCAGGCCTATTAAAACGCTCCTCCTTCCCCCAGGAACCAGGGGAGTTAATCAGAACCAGAGGTCTGGATGGAACCGCTCACTAGACGCTGAGACCACACTGTGCTTGTCGTGGATTCAGGTTCCCACCGAGCATCCACCGGCGAGCGGTTCCACTTTCCTGCCAGCATGCTCCACACACACAGCAGATCTGGTGGCAGCTGATATTTATGTTCAGCGAGTATGTTGGGCCAAGCGCCGGCGGATCCATGCACGGCAGCACTCCTGTAATGAGACACACGTTGCTGCGCTGCTCGGTGCTCCCAGTTGTTTGCTCCGTGTCTGGAGATGTACGGCTGAGTTGCATAACAGCTTCAGCTCTTCAGTCCTGCTCTGTGTTTGGCTTCATTCATGCACGTGTTGGTGTGTGCTATGAGCTCGGCCCGGCTCCCCCTGAAGCCCTGGGGGTCCCATTCTGCTAAATAATCACTTTTCCAGTTGTTACACACTCTGAGCCTCCAGAGCTGCTGCACAGTCGAGCATCGATATATGTACGCTGTGGGACGGTTTAGGGGAGTTTATTTATGTAGCCCAGAATCACAAAAGAGCGGGAAATGAATGGGCTAAAACCTCAGGAAGAAGTCTGTCTCTGTGTTCTGCAGGATATCTGTCTTTCTAGTCAGACTGAAGCCGCCCTCCCCTCCCTGTGTGGCCACGCAGGGCGCTGTGGGAGTGAATCACTGCGTCCTTGTCCATCCGGTCGAGGCCAGAGGCCAGCAAGGCTCTTGGACGTGGCCAGGAAGCCTCTGAACCTCCCCAGGATGTAGCTGTCAGCTGATCCCCCTTGTGGGAGAGGAAGAGCCGGAGGACGAGCTGGGGAGCGGGAGGGAAGTTGGCAGGTGTGGATGGGACAGGAGACTGGGGCTGGAGGGTTGTCTCCAGCTGACAGTGACATGGGAAAGCTCTGGTTTACAGATACAAGAGCCCACATGACTCCCTTTTTCCCTCCGTCTCTCTTTTTTTAGTCGTCCTCCGTCCTGCATGAGCTGGTTCAGTGGATTCCTCCTGCACTGCTTTCAGGACACAGGCCCTTCATGTCTGTGTTCTCACAGGTCTTCATGAACCACTTCAAAACAGAGCTTCTTTCAGGACAAATACTCCAGGTCTTCAAAGATGGACACCTCTCGTGCTATTTATAGCCAGAGGTCAGCGTATAGGTTCCACATGTTCCTCAGCCCCGTCCCGCTGGTGTGTGATGGCGGTGTGTGATGCAGCTGGATGACCTCTCCCCTCCAGCAGCAGACACAGGACAACCCTCCTTCTTCTCCCCGTCGCACAAACAAGTTATTCGACAGCGGCGTGATGGAGTCCAGATCCGTGGCTGAGCGTCTTTGAACTGGTACAAACGGTCTTTGTGTGCCGGTGGGATCAGCTGGAGACCCAGTTTCTTTATGAGATATGTGGAACAGAGCACAGATCTCAGCGGACAGCGATCTGGAGCGTTGCTTACTCTGAGTTTCAGGCCTGCTGCATTAGTCACGTACTTGTCATGTTTTCGTATCAGTCTTTCTGTTTTGGTGGTGAAGGCTGGAGCTGGTCTCTCTCTGCCTGTCCTGCATGAATGCTGTTTAGGAAACAGAGAGAACAGGAAAGGCAGAGCAGGCAGGGAAGAATAGAGGGATATCCCCTTACAGGGTTCCCTCCTTTTTCCTCCAGGATAGACGGGGTGAGAACTTCGGAAAAGGGTGGGGGGTCTGTAAATCACACCACCTGTCCACACCAACCTCTGCACATCATGCCCCCCACACAGGACAGGCTGTGGCAGTCCGAGGCCCGTGGGCTGCTGAGATGCCCTCTCTCTTTCACTGTGTGGCTGGGGGGGGCAGAGACCCTCAGATTAGCCCTATGTGGCCCAGATTACAACAGGATCAGTGCTGCCACATATTACAGTGGCCTGTGAACCATCAGTGAGACAGTGGACCAGCCTGGCTTTAGGGGCTTAAGACCCCATTTAATTACACTTGAGCAGAGAGGAAAGTACAGTAACCCGTTCACACAGCTGCTGTTGACACGGTGGTGGGAATCAGGCACGCAATCTCACAAGTGTCAACGGCAAAAATGTGTGTTCTCCTCACAAAGAAACGAGGGAGTGTAAGGTTTGAGTTTTCAGGCCCTGTTTTGAATTTGTTTTCCCCAAACAAATGAGACATTTCTGGGCTGGTGTCCACCTAGTGGCCACAGCTGGAAACGCATCCCCAGCACAGAGAAGAAGAGGAAAAATACCCTGATCAGTTTGTTTGACAGGAAAGAATTAAAGCGTTCAAAATGCCCTCCTGGTGTGTTCTGAACTGGAAAATCCGCCAAGAGCCACACGTGTGATTCGTAATGCCGAGCTCCTGGATGGTAAACGACTGTTTGTTTTTCTTGTTGTCTTCCCAAGGTGCCACCAGGGACATCGGCTCGGCGCTGACCAGGATGTGCATGAGGCACCGCAGCATCGAGACCAAACTACGCCACTTCACCAAGTGAGTGTTGTTGGTTTTCTCTCTCCTCTCCTGCCTTGAGGGGATGGTTGTATTCCCAGGTCCCAGCCCAGTTCTGTTGACCTTCTTCTCATCGGGCTGCTCTTCGCTGAGCGTTTTGTGCCGCGGAAATAAAGCAGTTTGTTTCAGGCATCATTGTGTGACTCCGCCGTCTGCTGTCGTCTCTGCTTGTTGCTGTAGTGCTCTTATGGAAGGCCTGGTCACGCCGCTCCAGGACCGGATAGAGGAATGGAAGAAGACGGCCAATCAGCTGGACAAAGACCACGCCAAAGGTGAACAACCAGAATCTGCTTATACTTGTCTGTATACAGCGTGTGCTGGAGATTTAAACGCTTCGTTGTCCACTACTTTCCACAGAATACAAAAGGTCTCGTCAGGAAATCAAAAGGAAGTCATTAGATACCATCAAACTCCAGAAAAAAGCACGAAAAGGTGAGAAAGACGTTGATGATTGGACCTGTGATGATATTGTGATGAGACTGGAGGTCAGCCTGCTGCTGTAACGGTGAACCAGCACCACCTAGAGTGTAGCATGGGAAATGATAACTCTGCCAACATGTCTCCTGTCCAGCTCTGGATGGTTTACCACATAAATCAGAGACGTTAGCTTCTCTCCTGGCTGTGCTTGCATTAGCCCCCACTGCTGGATGTCATTAAGCTCCTATTTCCAGACACGCCGGTGGTACGGGCTGGTCGTGATGCGGCCCAGTTTGAATCCGCTAACCCTGCCTGTTCTTCTGTCTCTCCTCCCAACCCCAACCCCCCGCCTGTTACTGCACTATTTACCTGGCTGTAGAGCTTCTAGGTATGTCTGCTGTACTTTGCTCCAAATGAGAACTTCACATGCCAGTTCCAAGCATCAGAACCCGTCTTTAGATCGACCTGCCAGTCAAAGAACAACACTTCTGCGCTTTTCTTAGCATTTTGGTTCCAGGGTGCAGCAGTTTGACGTTCTGAGAAATGTGCTGATTGGCTTTGCATGACACGTACATGAGAGGCCTGACAGTCCCTCATGTCTGTACGGGAGCTGAATTACTGGCTGCCAGCAGACGTTTAGCCGAGCTTGTGTAGCCGTGTTCTTCTCAAACATTTCAAAATCTACCTGCGAGCACCTGCAGAGCTGCACGGTTCTGTTTGCTGAAGCCACATAGAAGCCAGAGTATGAAATGCCCACACCGCTGTGTTATGGAGAACAGCTATGACTCATATGACCTTCAAAATAAAAGCCTGACAGGTAGCTGTGTCTACTGCAACAGGGAGAAAGAGTTTCTTCAGCAGCATCTCCCTCAAAGAGCAGCACAAGAGTGACAGCTCATTTATAATCCCACAGAAGCTCCAGTTTCCCTTTGGCTTGTTTCCAAAGGTTCAACAAATATAACTTATGGATTTTTTTCTTAAACTTATCAGAAAAACTCTGTAGACTGGAGGCTCCGTCTGTATAAGCGCCGGAGGATTTTTACTCCTCTGATGTAACGCGTGCTGAGCTGGAAATGATGGTTTAAACCTGAAGATGAGTTTTATTTCTCTCTCTAAAATAATAATAATAACTGATTATGAACTGATTGACATGTGATTTATTATGTGATAACGCTACCTTATGAACGAATTAAATGTTTATTTAGTAAATTAAAAACAAAATAAAAAACAAGTGAAAAAGTGACATGAGTTCAGGAAGGAGCATAAACTTACTACGTGCCACCCCCTCATCACCCTGTGATTCATTACAATACTACCTGTTCCTATATATGTAATAAATAGATTTAAGATCAAACATCAACACATCACACTGCTCTACACCCACTTTGGTGTCAAAGTGTTCTGAGCTGATTTTGGACAACGTGCTGAATCCAAACATCACGCTGGTTTTGCTGAATGAGGTCAACATTTGATTTGATGAAACCTGTAATTTACTTGTATTTACCTTTACCAGTGTTTACGCTCATCAACTTGTGGATCATTTAGATTATGAAAAGGATTAGAAAATGAATGTTTTCCTCTAGAATCTGATTTCATATGAGAAATACTAAAATAAATCAGTTGCTAATATCAAAAATGTCATCGATTTAGTGGCAAAATCGACTTTTTTAACATCGAGTTGGTATAAAAACCTGACCTGATACAGAAAACCAGACGTCATTTTTGGATTCAGCGCTGCACAAATGTCCTAAATCAGTTAAAAAATCCTCGACACCTCCAAAAAAGTCTTGTTTTGTAACCCAGTGTTATCAATTAACTGCTCTGATAAGCAGGACATGAACCTGATCAACCCACCTCTGCACATATGTGATAATGCTCTGTTATATTTACCTCTTGGCAATATAAAAAACCTGTTTCCCAAAACGTTAAACCACAAACACCCTGATACCAGAGAATAGGAGTAAGACGTGAGTGCACTGGGCTCCACAGCAGACGTATTGACCTGTCAGAGCAGAGCAGACTTCACTGAGAACACTAATAACTGCTGTTTTCCTCCACAAGTGTCCCGGTGAGTCACGACACTGTGGCAGGGAGCCATCAGAGCAGCTCCATGCTAAATCTGCTCATTATCGATCTCGTTACGTAACTGTGCGTCTCCTGCTGCCACTTGTCAGTGTGTCCTCTGTGAAGGATGCCCGGTGGAGAAGCAGCACATCTCTCAGCTTGTCTTCAGCGTTCGTATCGTCTGCCAGACCTCCTTCCAAATGCAGCTCCTCCATTTTCTAAATTACTAGTTGTTTTTTGACAACTCGCCGCAGGACGGTCACTCATCCCTCTGAGTAATAACGGCGTCTTTGTCACGAGCTGACATCTAAACTCGGCGCTGATGACTAAAGGCTGCAAGCGTTTGTTTTTAAGGACCTATGAATTGACAAGCTGTCACATCCTTATGGAAGTGTTCAGTTAATTAGTGCCTTATTAAATGCAGGTGTGCTGAAAGATTAGCTAATTAAGCCGATACGTGTTGAACATCAAACGAATCCGCGGCGCGCTGTTCGCTGACGACGGTGCTGCCGGTGAGTTTGATCCCGGTAATCACCACGATGGCGAGACACAAATTGGAATTTGCTCGCACCGATGTCGCTGATTATAGATTGACGATGGGCCATACATTCAGAGCTGCTCGAGACGTAAATGCTAAGATGTGCTGCAGCGTGTTGAGAAGTGACTGGCAGAGCAAAGAGTGTTGCATCCTCATCCTCCTCCTCCTCCATTGTTCTGTCAGCTAGTCTCACTGTGGTCTGCTGTGGATGGCTCGTGGTAGTTGTTGTTCTCATCTCATCCATTCCAGCGTCTGCCAACCATCACCAGCTGCATTAATTGATGGCATGTTTTAGTGGCCTCTCATTCCCACCAACACAAACCATCCGGTGTGATGTCAGTCGGTGCGTTGACCTCTCGCTCAGAGCGCCGTATCACTGTTTGTTCTAATCATCGCTCTTTTTTTTACTCTTTCCCTCCTCCTCGCTCTGTCTGCACTTCATGTCACGTCCATAATTATAATCCTCCCTTCCAATCTCAATCTGTTTTCATTCCTCCTCCTCCATTTACTCAACCCCTGTCCTCCCTCCCTCCCTCCTTCCTTCCTTCCTTCCTTCCTTCCTTCCTTCCTTCCTCTGTGCTGTTGCCTCCTCCAGGCCGGGGTAACCTGCGCCCCCAGCTGGACAGTGCCATGCAGGACGTCAGCGACTTGTACCTGCTGATGGAGGAGACGGAGAAGCAGGCGGTGCGCAGAGCCCTGCTGGAGGAGAGGGGGCGCTACTGCTCGTTCATCAGCCTGCTCCAGCCTGTCGTGGTGAGCAGCGTTTACACCGCGTGCTGCTTGGATGACAGAACCTGTGTGTCAGTGACGTGGTTTAATGTGATCCACCCTGTTTGGCTTTCAGAACGTAGAGATCGCCATGCTGGGAGAGATAACACACCTCCAGGCGATTGTTGACGACCTCACCTCGCTGACCGAAGACCCTCACAAGCTGCCGCCGGCCAGTGAGCAGGTAACAGGTGTCGTCCTCCTAACGACGCCGGTGCACTTAGCGTCTGACATCCCCAGAGATCGGATCACAATCAAATGTTTCTCGTACAACTGAGGTGCGAGGTCTGTCGGGTTTCAGTGTTTTCCTCACAAAAAACGCTAAAAGCTAATGTAGCTTCGGAGCCATTAACAGGCTTGTAAACCTCATCTCGCCACCGTAAATACTCACTCGAGCAGCAAATGTGCATCAGCCCGCAGCTGGAAATAGCCTCCAGTAAATACACCATTTACTCCCGTTTTCTTTCTACAAACTGCCGAGCAATTCCAGGAATGATCATGCCCACTTTACTGTTCCAACCACATGTAGAAGCAGTTTCCTCTTTTGTTGCGTGCTGCTACTGTAAACCCAGCGTTTGGTTCTGTGCTGCTGCAGGTGATCCGGGACCTGAAGGGCTCCGACTACAGCTGGTCCTACCAGACGCCTCCTTCCTCCCCCAGCAGCACCGGCTCCAGGAAGAGCAGCATGTGCAGGTATATCCAAAAAAAAAAGGGAATAAATTACCTTTAATGATATTGTTTGTGCAGTTTCATGGATGCATGAGCTGAGCACTAGAACACGATGCCGCCTGTCTGCCGTGTTGTTGATGTGTTCAGTCGATGCTGGAGCTGTTCTCAACCTTCTTTGATTCCAGCCCTCTTAATAACACAGCAGCAAAGAAGTAAAGCGTCCAGAGGTGGTTGTGAATACATGAACGTGACGCTGACGTTCCCTCTCCAGCAGCCTGACTGCCAGCGACAGTCGACATGCAGTCGTATCTCTCCAGCTCCTGAGCCTTGCTCCTGGCAGATTTGTAGTTCTCAAGCTTCTTACAGCCAGATTAGGTCCAAAGCTGTCAAACCTCACAGCCTGGAAGCCATGAGCCTACACAAGAACCAAAATCCACACACTCAGGAGGCTAATGCTGATAGGTTAGCCGTTATGTATGGATGTGGCGTCGCAGGTGAGGAGACAGGTCGGTCTCTGTAGAGGTGAGCTGAAGGGATGTGAACCGTTGTCACAGCGACCTGCTTTGGGTGTTGTGTTCATACCCACGTCTTATTTTCCTGTTTTATTTTTACTCACCGTGCAGCCGCTGATCATGTGTGTGACTGTGATCTAGAACTTACCTCAGTGTTAAAACAAGTGAGCGTGATGCTTTCAGGTTGAAATAAGAGCAGGCGACAAAATGCTTCATCTCCCAGACGCCAGCTGTTTTAGGGTTTTACTGGAGCAACTGCTGTATAATGAAATAACACAATGTGATCAAAAGACAAAGGTTCTGATGGTGAGATGTGAGAGAAGCTTGTGAACGAGGCACAGAGGTGAAAGAGAAGGACTGAAGGACGTCCCCAGGTCTAAATCTTTTATGGTTGTTTAAGTTGCCATATTTAATTTGGCGTTCCCTCCATAAGCTTCATCCGAGAGAACAAAGACAAATGAGAAATAATAACTTGAGATATATTCCAGGGGGAGAGAGGAAGGAGGAGGTGTGGGTGAGGAGTACAGAGGGAAGGTGAGAAGCATAAGTTGCACATTTCAAACTGAGTGGGTGACAAAGAGAAGCAGCGCTGAGCGAGGACGACTGAGCGGGAGACAAAAAGCCACAAAGACAGCTGTTAATGCTAATAGGAAAGGAAGAATCAAAGGCGGGAGAACTTTTTAATGCTCTTTGATGCACCAAAATTAGAATGTTCCACTGATTTGATATCCTGTCAACAGTCTCCTCCAGATGCCCTCGGCAGGCGCCCACCGGCTCAGCAGCGTCTCCTCCCACGACTCGGGCTTCGTCTCCCAGGACGCCAACACCCATTCCAAGCCTCCGTCGCCCATGCCCTCTGACATCACCAGCCAGGTAGCAGCGCAGACACAGTCTTAAGAGTACGCTTTTATCAGGAGGAGAGGAGGAATTTTTCACTGTGAGAACAATCAAAGGGACAAAGCAGACTTGTTATCTCTGGAGATGTCTGAGGCGCTGATGCTGCGAGGCAGGAGGACGCAGCAACAACAGCACTGCTGCTGCTTTTGTCAGAGTATAGCGACAGTAATTCTCTCTGCATAACAACAGTCATTCTCCATTTGGTGCCTCTAATCTGTTCCTGTCATGTTTGCCTTTAACATATGAAGCCACAGCCTCAGCCAGAGTTTGATCAGTCAGACCGAAGCTTCTCATTTTTGCTGCAATACAGCTTTATCGGTTGCAAATGTGGAGTTTTTATCCCACTGGACTGATAAAGTGATTCACACTCTCACGCTCTGAACAGATTGCAGCGTACAGAACAGACTCAGCAGCACACCAGCTGATGCAATGTTCTGTCTCTGAATAAATGATCTTACAGCTACCATATTTTCGATCTGGGCTATAGTCCATAGATCCCCTCAGAGAGGAAGAAAAGATTCCCTCTTTCTACAGCTCATCAACACTCTTCTCCAAGTTCTCACCCTTATCCTGTGCATCTCTCACACCTGCCTCTTTCTCCCCATCTCCTCTTCAACTCCGCTCTTCTTTACTCCATCTTCCCTTTCCCAGAAATCAACAAGCTCAGCCTCCTCTGAGGCCTCAGAAACCTGCCAATCTGTCAGCGAGTGCAGCTCTCCTACAGCGGTTAGTACTGCATGAATCTGTTACCATCTACTGTGCTCTGCTGGACACACACCTGCACACATGCATAGTTACACACCGATGTGCATCTCATTGTTCCCTGAGCTTTAAGAGGCTGTTGGGCCGGTGGTGACGGCCTCGCTGTGGTTTCACGCTCTGACTCAGACTTGTCTGTCCATTCCGCAGTTTGGCTCATGCTCATCCTTCGGTACCTTCCGCCCTGCTTTCTCTCACACTGGCACCATCAGGCCTCTGTCTGTCATACTTCCTGCGTCCCCCACATTTAACCACTCCCCTGGATCCAACACTCCCTCACCCACATCAAAGGTTCCTAGCTGGAAGGTTTGTTTTCATTTGCACATTTCAGTTTTGGGTTCTCTCTCTTTTTTAAAGCTTTGTTGCTTCTTTGCTTCCTGTGTTGTTTTTATTGCTGTCATGGACATTGTGTTCTGTTTGATTAACCTCACGGTCACCATGTCGCTGTTGCTCAGTTTTCCCAATCTTCACTGGATGGCTGTATTATTTAACCACGCTGACATAGCCTCCTGTAGCCTGCCCAGATCTACCATGCTTCTAACCAGCTCACGAGCCAAACCAGCAGCTTCCATGTTTAACTGACTGTACGACTGTCGGGTGGCGAACACTGGACACACACAGTTGGAAGACAATTTCATTGTTCCATCTGCTGCTGCAGGATTGGGCCAAATCAAGCTCCTATGAGCCTTCGTTGGCGAGCACTCTGCACCGTAGGAGGGGGTCTGTGGATAAGATGAGAGAACTGGAGGCTCCGCCCAGTCCGCAGGGATACTCTGGGATGCAACCAGATGATCCGCACAGGCCGAGAAGTGGCCCAGGAACCATTACAGCCAAGGTACCGAGTCCTCAGGGAGCGAGAAATGTTCATGTCAGTGTGTAAATGTGTGTCTTGGGAGTTCTAGTGTGGTGAATCGCATATGTAAATGTGTGCTAATCTGTATGTACTTCCTGTCTGCGTGTGTGTGTGTGTGCTTCAGCATGGCGAGCCCCTCTCTCCAGCAGCCAGTACTCTAGCCATGGTTCTGACCCGAGGCTTGAGCATGGAGCAGCAGAAGAGCAGCAGAGACTCTCTGCAGTACTCCAGCGGCTACAGCTCCCAGACCAACACCCTGTCCTGCTCCGAGGACACCATCCCGTCTCAAGGTACCGCTCACCTGAAAGCAGGCCCTTCATGATGAAAACACCCGTGCAGCACTTAGGTTCTGGTGTTTCCTTCCAGTGAGTGTGTGGAGCTGTGATGTGACGAGCGCGGCGCTCATCGCCTTGACTGTCCATGTGGTTGCTGTAATTTATTATGTGCTGGAGCAGCTGCACATTAACTCTTCTGTTGTCCTTCAGTGAGAACAGTAGATACTCATCCCTGACTGTCACCTCCAGGTTCTGACTACGAGTGCTACTCTCTCAACGGGGATGCAGACGGTGAAGGGCAGGCAGACTTTGACAAGTCCTCCACCATTCCACGCCACAGTAACATCGCTCAGAGCTACCGCCGCATGATCCAGACCAAGAGGCCTGCTAGCACAGCAGGTCTGCCTGCAGGTAAAAGCCTGCAGGGGACTCCAAACGGCGCCGCGGGAAGCAGCTCTGGAGCTATCGCCTCAGGGACCGCCACTATTCGCCGGACGCCATCCTCCAAAACTAGCGTGAGGCGCACGCCATCGACATCTGGCCCCATTCCCATCCGGCCCCCCATCGTGCCTGTTAAGACTCCCACCGTGCCAGACTCTCCGGGGTACGCCAGCCCGTCCCAGCATCACCGCGCGGGCAGCGAGGAGTTTCTGTACGGCGATGACCCGTCTGCCAGCGACTACATGAGGGCGTCTCCAAAGCGAATGAGTCTTCCTGACACAACCTGGGGCTGCGGCAGAGGAGGGGCGGACCGGACTGCTTACGCCCAGCAGGCCCCCGGCATGGCCGCCCACGGGTCTGAGGAGGATCCTCTGCTCGCTGCCAACCGCCACAGCCTGGTGGAGAAGATAGGGGAGCTGGCAGCCAGCGCCCACGCCCTGGGTGAGGGTCAGTTCCCCTTCCCCAGCTCGCTGCCAGGGGATCCGGCTCAGTTTGCCGCCCAGGAGCCGTCCTCTGCGGCGCCGGACGACGTGGACATGCTGGTTTCTATACGCCGGGGGGTGAAGCTCCGCAAGACTGTCACCGATGACCGGTCGGCGCCCAGGTTCATCCGGTAGTCGAGGGAGAAGAGCGGCGGTGAAGAAGCGGCTTGTGGTGCCCTGATTTACAAACTGAAGCTGTTGTGATGAAGCGAGGCGTCAGAGGAGAACGAAGGCCAGTGGACAGCGTGATGAGACACACGGACCATGTCAGGTCGTTTCATGTCATGTATGTATTGCGTACGTACAAAGTAATCCATATTTTTTTGGTTTTTACTCTTCTTTGGTTTTGTTTGTGGGCTTGGTGGCTGTGCGCCTCTGCTCCCTGTGTGACCAGTCGTTTGAGCCCAGTTTGTCCCAGTGTAGACCCAGTGATCGGATGCTCTGTCTCTTTGTTCTTGCTCTTATTATTATTATTATTATTATAATATTGTGCTTTTTTTTTTTGATGAACTGGCCGCCTGTCTGTGGACGTGATGGGCGCCTGAGAGCCGTCTGTATGTGGTGTTTCCTCACCGTTACTGTACACGTACCGTATTACTGTTTCCACTCATAAGCTGACCAGCAGCTGTGTAAGTCATGTACAAATAGAAGCAATATGGCAGTGTTTTTATTGCTGTACTGTACTGTCAATATATTCTGCAATTAAACAGCTTTTTACTGTTGAATGGCTCCGTTTGTTTTTGTCAGACGTCATGTCCTATGAAAACAGAAGGAGTCGGTGTTCTGACTGCTTCAAACCATCGTTAGCGTTTAGCTGCTGAAATGTGGCGCAGTAGTGATGACTGCATATATTCATGTAATTTAACTATTTTATTTTTTTTAACCTGTCCTCCTTTTATCATTTTACCTCCAGATCTTTAGCTTTTTAATGCAGTGTCAGTATTTAGGGTCCGAGCACCCAAAAGGGTGCGAAGACCCTATTGGAACTGCTC